CATTTCAAAAATTATCTTTTAATGTAGGTGCATACATTCCACACATCTCGCCCCACGTTATCCATTTCAAAAAGTATAATGTAGGTACATAACACCCCTGGGGTCGAGCCCCCATATTTGGAAACATAAAAATAATGCCAAAAATATTAGATGAATATATTTTTAATACTATTGTTATAGTTTGTTTTTTAATCCCGGAGACTAAATTGACAGGTTGAAATGTCAAATTTTCAAATAATGTTACCTACCACCCCAGCGGGATAGTGGTGTACCTGCGATACCGATTTGTTCAATCGAAAACTTTTATTTTAAGAAATTAGTTTTAAAGCTTAATATGACGTTTCCATAACAGAATTTTATAATTTATTATTTTCGCAGCATTAATTTTTGTCGTTTCCGTACAAATAGTAATTTTACAGTATTAATCTACAAACCAACATTTTTTCAATACTTTTTCTTAAAAAGTACAATCAGATAAATAATTTAAAAATAGTTTCATAATATATGACACAACGAAAAGGTCATTTGTTTTATAAAAAACGCAGTTAGTCTTTATTTTAGTGAAAAATAAGAAAATTCTATTTTGATACAACAACCATATATTTATAAATACCTATACTTTATTAATTTTGTGTTAATGCTTTTTAAATAAACACCATTATTTCTGTATAACCTACAAAAATGGGTAAATAATTAAATTTCGGATAGTGCCACACCACAACATTATTTAAAAAATGCAAATACTTGGCAACTTGTGTGTAATAATAAAATATGAAGAAATTGTGATTGTTATTAAGTTTTTTTTTAATAAGTTCGTCAGAACAGAGAAACAACATTTAACATTTATTACTATTTGACATTGGATATTGACTTTAATTTTTGTAATTTATATTGTAAAACTTTAAGTTGGGCTAAAAAGGACTTGTACCCAGAGCCGTAAAACAAATTAATAAAAAAAATGCCAAATTTGTCTCGCAATCGGCCAATTTCAGGTTTAAAGAAACAACACATACACACGATTGTGTTTAATTAATATAGTAAATAAAAAGTGCCAAAACAAATAATTGTTATTTTAAGCAAACATTCAAAATAAATTAACAAAACATATAACTTTTAAGGTTTATTCTCTGTAAACCTCTTTGTTTTAAGCTCTCTCTACGTCCATGCTTTATCCGAACATCTTTCCCATTCTTGAAAAAAGTATTTATTTTTTTCACTTTAAAAAGAAAACATAAAAAAAAATTCACTTAAAAATACAATCTGCCTACATACAGATCTACTAAAATACTACTCACCATCTTTACGATTGTTAGCTAGTGATATGAAAAGATGGCGAGTGCAGTTTGTTTGTCAGTGTCATTAGAATTTAACGAAATACTCCATAATTCGAATTTTGCGGATATAGTATGTTGTCGACTCGAAATAAATATTTTTTATGTTTTGTTATTCACATAAGGTTTCGTTCGAGTCTACCGTACCCCTTGACGGAATTATTAATATAGATATGATTAGGTCTTATATGAGATTTATTTATATGTTTTCCGAGAAGTAAACAATAAAAATACACATCTAATCTAATATGAAGATATATTTTTTGTTTATAATGCTTAAACTTAAAAAATACTCAACCGAATTTATAAATTCCTTCACCTATGCATGCATTCTGCATTATCAGAAAGTTATATGGCTTAGATTGTAATATAAAAAGTGCGATGTTTACAATAATTCCAACTATGTGAAGCCGGGCCGAGTCGGTAAGAAAATACGAAAATCAGAGACTTAAACAAAAAGTTTTGTAAAACTAGTAGGGTCCGACTAGACGGGGCGAAACGAGAAAAATTCCGAGTCGCACAACATCGAGACCAGTAAGAATTTACTGGGTCAAGTTCATTATTGAGGAATAAATAGCTAGGAAAGGTGAGGCCGCCTTTTTATAAGCGACTTCGGTCTTACTCAGGTAAATTTTAAACTGTTTTAAAAGTGAAAGTGTAAAGCTATTACAGAGAATCAATATTATACTACGTAGCTACAGAATATAAAATTGTATACCAATACAAGGCGGAAGGAGATTGTTAGTAATATGGAGGACTAGTAACCCCATTCATCCAGGGGGGATTCATTATGTAGACGTCGACCTGACGTAGTACATTGCTAACGATGGGGTTACTAAACTACCCTGATTAATTTTAGATCAATTTGTCATGATGACCAGACCTGACATCAAAAAAAATATATAACCCAAGTGAAAGATTAACTTTTACTTTTATTTAAATAATTTTTAGTTCAGTTCCAGCAATCCACCTTTATAAATATAAAAAATATGGGTAACATTAAGTATGTTATCAAAATGAGATTGATTTCATTTATGAGGTGACCTATATTGAATTATAATGATAATACATTAATAGATAGTTATTATTGTTTGCGTAACGTACTAAGGATATTTTTTTGATGTAGTCATTAACAAGTAAACTGATTTACCTAAGTTAGTTTTCCCATCACTGTCCTTCAACCACTTTCTGCTTTTATGCAATCGTTAGCTGGTAGAGACTGCCATGGGGCATTGAGCTCATAAATTGTACACATATTTTAAATAGTAGTATTGTAATCTATAACGTTTAAATACATTATATATTAGAATACTACCACTTTTATTAATTGTTATTTATATTATTACATAAATTAAACCAAATCTTGTTAATATACTTAACAGATACTTATCCAATCAACAGAATCATTTTATAAGGTTACAAAAATAGATAGAATATATAAATAATAGGACAGGTGTAAACGCTATACTGCATCGCTGCAATGCGTTTTGTGCGGTCTATTAATATTTTATTAAGCCAGGTGTTAGGTAAGTACATACAGGAAAGTAATACTAGTTGCGGCTTAAAAGCGGGTGTAGTGTGGCTTCGGCTCTTCTTCTTTAGGGTCTAAACCCAATCTTGATTTATCTAATTCACCTTTGTACTGTTCTCATCAAACGTAATGAAGACTAAATTGGAATAATCGATAACTATACGTATAATTTGTAAAAATCACGCTATCTTTCTACATGTTACTTTTATTGAGTTCCTCATATAATAATGACCGTTCGCGTCAAATTTAAAACAGTATATGAGCGATAACTATTAATTATTTCATTGAACACGGAATATGAATTTAATGTATTGCTAGATCAAGAGTGTTAAAAGGTACAAAATGGTACAATCCAGTAACATTGATTGGAATTAATTTTCAGATTAGTCCGGCTGTAGGCGAGATAGATGTGGCTTTATTCCACGATGATTCTTAAGACTGCATTTTCCTTACCCCTCTCCATTCAAAAGGTTTTGTCCATAAGATAAGGCAACTAATATCAACACTTCAGACTAATCAGATTTTCTTTGAATAATTTTGTTTTAAAATTAAAGGTAACTGAAAATTCGCTTTTCACCAATAAAACATTTAGCTCATTCGCATGAGCAATCCAATACCTACAGTATAACATTGTTCGTGCTTGGGTTAGGGATATGCAAGGATCTCTCTGAATAGAAAACGAATGAATGCTAAAGAATACCAACATCGTAATTTTACTGTGTAGACTCACTCCACGTGTTAAGTTTAACGCCAACTTGGATAAGGGTGGCCGATACATACGTATTGTAATATTTTCAAAATAAGGATCATTTATTTGCATTCCCCGAAATGCCTTTAATTTAAAGTTACAATAACTTGACCCTTTAAAATAAAGGAAAATTATTACAAATAAAAGGGTTGTGTAAACCCACTAGTTTATTTATTATAATTTCTACTCATATATGCGTAGGCACATTTCTGTCAATATTAATGGTGGGCGCCCATTCTCTCTCATATTAAATTATTAAAACACATGAGTTGCGCACAGCTAAGTTCATTGTGAGCCGTAACTTAGAATAAAAATAAACCATAAGATACCTAATGTATATGCTTATACCGTTAAAGTGATGTGCAAATCGATAGAATTCTTAATATAAGTATTCTTAATATAAATATAATGGTTTTAAATTGTTTCTATTTCTGTTTCCTGTTTTATTTGTTTTAATGTTCAAAACTGGAATCCAGTTTTACTGACATCTTCCTTTTAGATAACTGGAATATTATTTGTATAAACCACAGACTTACAATAATGTTATTAACGTTATACAATAACTTAAAACGTAAAAAAAATCTATTTTAATATAGTAGGTAGATAAAAGAAGTAGCTCGCAATATTCGAACCAATTTTTTGCTTTATTGTGCGCACTCAATTTTACTAATTTCGTAGTAAAATTGCTAATCACAACGGGATACAACTTCAATTGCCCAAACCGAATAAAATTGACAAGATTGTAGGAGGTCTATAATAATCATTTGGTCTAGCAAGGCTTCAGGATGAGAACCAATTTGAGAACATACAATATACCTATTACATATAAACATAGAAACAATTGGTCTTGTTTCAAGTTTTGGCTAGCAACACTGTATGAAAATAACACTGAATCTAATGTATTTTTAAAACAAAGCCTTATTACTACAATCTTCATTACAATAGACCAATGACTATTACGAGGTCAGTGAAATAAATATTCTATTATAATGAAAACTATATTTGGTCATTATTTTTCTGTTTCTCTAGACAAAAGCCATACCCAGCGACTTATTTTTGATGTATTATTAAATTTTTTAGTATTTTCTGCGTTATATTTTTTATCTTAGTTAGTCTTATCAAGCCGATGTAATGCTTACATATAATTAGTACTATAAATTCGAAGGTCAGCCCATCTATCAGTCTCAAGGAGAATGAATATATGAGTCACTAAAAAACTTTATGTACTCGGAGACTTAGAAATTATACAAGTATTTTCTAGCAGATACTCGTCCATTATTTTGCATAACCCGTATCCTATAGAAATTTCTAATGCCTAGTTTATAGTCTGGTTTTAGACATTATATAATACTACATAATAATTATGCAATAGGTTGATAATAGAACTTACTTTGTTGTTAATTACACAGCGATGTTACATCTCGTTTGCTTTGATCCTTGGCCCTGTAACAAACGATAATCATTTGTCATTTATATTTAATTACAGCGGTTTTGCCCGCGTCTGTATTCTTCAGGTTCCGCGATTTTCCTAAACTCCTTTGTTAGTGAATTCGTTCCACGCGAAAGCTCTAATATTGAAAGTTTACACTTTATGGTTTAAAGATTGTGCGATAAGTCACTGAGATTGAGAGACATTCTGACTTATAATACTACACCTATATCTTGAATTATATACATAAACGTAGAGATTATTTTTGATGGTTCACTATTCACATAGATTTATCAAATATATAACACGTAAAAGTTTATTAAAGGAAAATATGAGTAATTTTTGTTTAATATACCCATTAATAGAAATGGAAATATGTCTCACATAATTAATAAATACCTAATTAAGTATGTTAAATTGTAATGGAATCACTGTTCTAATATAGAGATCATATAAACGAGATTTGCGTGACGTCAAGTTAGACGAAGCGTAACAATAGGCGTGCCAATTCCTCAATGAGCAGCGCAAGCGCCGACGCTCACGACATGGCCGTCCGTGTTCTGTCGACAAGATGGCGGGTGGTGAAAGTGGACGGTGACCGCAGAACCGTTTGCTCGGTAAATCTTTAGCACTACACAACCTGTTTTAAAATTAAGTTAAAATACGTATTGCATCCATAGTGGCATGAAGTAATGTAGGTACCTAAGCGTAATTCATCAAAGATTTCCTGACTGATATTAACACCCGTATCTTGAGGATATTGAAACACGTTCCTACGTTTTTTTAATCTTTTCTTATTGTATTTCATTCCGTAATTATGTTTACTACTCTTTTACTTTTCTCAAGCAATAAAATATATATATTCAGGTTAGAAATTCCTAACCTGTAAATTTGAAGACATAAGAAAAACTAAATATATGCCTAAGTTATTTTGATCGATGATTAGTATTCGACGGTGCATGTTGAACGTCCATCACTACTAAAACTGTAAGACTGCCATATATTTTTTGAACAATGACCCTGATCGACGCTATTGAGGCCACGGAATGGTTTTGCAACTGCGCGCACCCGGAAGTAGAAGTGCGTTCGAAATTCTCTATGAGATTACATAATCATTTATATATTATAAAACAAATTCAATAGTCTATTATTATGTCACGAAATTTTAACAAAATCATAATTTTCATTAGGAAACATACATTATAATTGTTAATTTTAAATAAGTTAAGAATAATAACAAGGCATAGAACTAGATCACGTCAAGCGAAACATAACTCGATTGCTCGTTCCCATCGTAACCAAGAGTAGATTGAAATTAATAAAGTTAGGAGCCAAGAGTGAGAAGCGAAGGCTGTGCCATGTAGGTGTACTGATCTTACCCACATCAAAGGCCATAATTAAGTTTGTGAAGACATTATTTGTTCACCATCCCGATGAGTTTTGTTATAATACTGCGAGATCCCTAAAATTAGTTATTGATTTCCGCCATGTGTTCTGTTTAAAGAGAAACACGTTAGTAATAAATTATAATGAATAATAAAATTTACACAACATAATTATTTTTCCTATTTTCACCCTCCATAGGGTTTATCAAAGACAAAATTAGTATTTATGAGACTGAAAATTTTCCCAAAGCAAAAGCGAAATGGACAAACTTTCATACAAATTCCGCCGTCACGTGATCAAATAAGAATTGAACATTTATTATCACATTCCCACTTTGGGGAAACTTTTCTATGTTTTATGAGTATTTCAACTGGTTTTAAGGTTTGTAAACCCTTTATAACTAAATTGTTTCAGTGGGTCACCTACTTTTTCTTCACTAAAAGTTTCGATCTCCCAGGTTGTCTATTAGAGATTGCTTTAAGCGATAAAGCCGCCTTTTGTTTAGCACTTTTATGTAAAGTTCTTATTTTGCAAATAGTTTTCTGTGCTCAATAAATAGTTAAATTATTATTATTACTAGTAGTGACATCCACGTGGATGTAGAGCCTGCTACACGTTCCGTACGCAACGCTAGTGTTACATTAAAAAGGAGTCAGTAGGAACTAGCCAGTCAGATGTTTTACTTACTCGTCTTCGTTTGTCGAAACTCCTCTGCCACTAAGGAATCAATTCGAATATCTAGTCTTACATATTTTATATCCTATAAATTAAAGTACATAACATAAATAAAACACACTCACACACAGACTATGTTAAGGTTGTATCTTTTTTATTTTATTTATATGTTTTCAAAACAAAAAGGGTTATTGCGTAGTCTTAGACATGTGTTAATAACCCATTCTCCAGCTGCACCGGAAGATCTAGATTCATGATTCGAGAGCAACTATAAACTTCAAACTAATTTTACGATACAATGTAACATCCAGAATCGCGACTCGCGAATTACATCGCGTAAATCAGACGGACTGACAGCGCTCTCGGGTGAATTGTGAATCATGGACGCGTGTAAGGCAATCTTGGTCAATTACCGAACGGGTAACCTTGTAGTTGTGAGGATGTGAGTGTGACGTCACCGGCCAAGATGTAACGACGACTGTTTCCTCCCACAACGACGTGTTAATTAACAATCGTTTGTGATTTGTCAATGTTTAGTTAAAGAAGTTTAAATCGAGTGACAATGTCACGTATCTCAAATAATCTACAATCGAAACGATGAAAGATTTGGGAACGGTGATCTCGAGTCCCGATAGTAGTGTAGATCCATCTCTCATCTCCATCTATAATGGAGAAACTACTTCAAATTGCTCTTCAATTGGCATGCAATAAATAGAGTTCCTGAAAAAAGAACATTTCTTAGGTCTAAGGTTCTTAGGTTGTAACTATCCTTTAGTTGACATCTCCTTGAATTCAAGAACATTTAATTCCAAGGTTCCAGAAATTACTAATAAGTTCATGAAAGGAGGCTTGCAATATGTGGCTGTGATGAACGATGAATGACTGTAATGGTGATAATAAAACCATAATGAAATTCATCAATGTAGACTTTCTGTCTTTGGATAAGAGCGACAAAAATATTAATATCTCTCGAATCAATTTGCACAACATCACCCACGTGGTACTCAAATGATTTAATTGCCAGAGCTATTTCTAGAAACTCTCTCTAAGTAATTATTATTATATATATAGGGGTTCATAATTGAAAGTATACGTAGAACATTACAAATCCCCACTAGACCAATGTTTTTGCAATAATATTACATAAATCACTCTCAAGATTGGCCTTTGATCGAAAAATAAGAAGATTATTATAATTGGCATGCGAAAACTCATGTCGAATAAGTACCTATCTATACTCTCAAAAAAACATAAAGATTTGTTTCAAAAATATTTCATTTGAAATACAGAATAATATTGATATAATGATTTCTTTATTGTTGTTTTTTTTTATTAATTTTCTTTTTCTAGTTTAGTCGTAGGCGGATATCTTATTTTATAAAATTGTTATCATCTACTGTACTAAGTACGTAAGTACAGGCTACATGAACTCTTATATTTATACCGACTTTTATGACTTGCATAAATCACAATCATTAATGGGTAGTTCAGAAAGAGAGAATGAAAAATGTAGAGACATTACATTTTTTCATTCTCGCTTTAATAATAAACTTTAATAAAAATATTTTTGTTTTATATGTCAACGGTGTAACCAACCGTCACCAAGTTAAGGCTGAATGACGAAATTCCTAATGAAATTCACGGTTAAGCTATTTATCCAATTAATCAATATATGTATATATGTATATATATCTCATGTATGCAAAGGAAGTCGAAGCAAAAGCTAGTAGATATTTAAAATGTATTATACATTTCATTGATCTTGTAGCGAAAACATACATGTACGTATACTCGTACATAACTACATATTATATATAGATATATGCATACATAAGTATATAACGAAATAATAAAATATGTATTAATTATTAGCGCAAGTGCAATGAGTGATAAATGTAGGTTTGTTTACCAATGAACTATACCTATATCGCATATGTCTTACATAAATACATAGAATACCTTGATATTCAAAGATTACGTCATTTCACGTAACATTTATAAATACCTACTTATTTATATTTAATAAACTTATTTGTGTATAAGTACATAGTATGAATGTATCACTAAAGATGTAAGACTATTGTAAATTACTGTAATTACTGTCAATAACTGAATCCTAAATTATTTCAGTTCATCGACGCGTTGAGACAAATAAATTTATCAACTACGAACGTAAGCAGTACCTAGTTATTTTTAGACTTAACATTCATAACAATGATAAACCCATATTCCTCCCTCGGGTAATAACCCGCTATGGTTAACATATTAACAATATAGAACAAAAGTGATATTTCATACATAGTATAGTTAGAAATCGTAAATGGAAAAGAATCAAAAAATGTCCGATAACCCTTCGATCTTTCGCCGTTTATATTGACGATATGCGCAACCATAGAGACAAAGTCGGGGTCATTAACCTCGGCTATCAGCTGACGACATCGGCCCAACCGCGGGGAAATTATCTTTCACGCTATATTTCGGTCGCGCGCTGCCAACGCCCTTATTACAAAGACCGATTGCCGAATTACGAATAAAAGATCGTTTTGATCGATGATAGTCATTGTGGCAAAAATAAGGAAGCCATCTCCAACAATATGATTGCACAAATCAACTTAGATAGCCTAAAATTAGATGTTCCTCGAATATAAATATATTTGACGAATAATTTTAAATAAAAATGTTACATTTTCTTTTTAGATATATATGAAAGTAAATATAATTAGCTTGGTGATTTTTGTCAAGTACATAGATTTACAAGTACTTAGTTACTAATTGTAATATCTCTATTTTCTATCGAAATATTTCCTTTTGAAAGTATACATTCTATCCTGAGGAGATAAAAACCATCTCTTCTAAGAATATCCTTCAATTCTTTTCCGTTACGGGTCTAGGTAGCGAACATTGTAAAAGTGCGAGCACAATAGATCTATGCAGGTCACAGGGTTACAGGTCTTAGCACCTGACAATAGCCCAAAACCCCTAATAAAAAAAACTATTTGTACTAATGAGTCATTAATCAAAAACGCTTCAAGTGTTTAACTTCTATTTCAAGGATAAGACAGTAGATAAAACTAATCTGTCATGTTAATTACGGTGATATACTTAGAAATAGCTACTTCCAACCAACATTTTTTTTAAAGTTCTCTAAGTGATTTGATAATTCATTTAGACAGCCTTTCAAAGTATACATGACCTGCTATTAAATATAATAGTTTTATAAATATGTCTTTAAATATTTAATTTTTTTGTCTTGGCATGTTGTTTTTTTCTTATTGTCAGCATACATTTCTATGCTTATTTATTAATAGTCTTTGTAACTATTATTATGTATATATATACTGTTATATATATAGGTACTCATAATGGTGGACTAGGTAGGTAGTCGTTCATATTGTATGCAACTAGTTCTGAATGTCTATTCTTGTGTTATGGATTTCCGATAATACCTCAATTACCTAGTTTTACCCTTTCTATAAATTATTTTGCTATTTGATCAAACCGTTTCACAGTAAGTTGGCATTTAGCTTAGGAAACGTAGGTATTAGATATAGATTACATTATTTATTTATATTTGTAAACTTACTAATATTATAAATGCGAAAATTTGTGTGTATGGATGGATGTTTGTTAGTCTTTCAGGTAAAACTTACTGAACGGATTTATATGAAACTTTATAGTAATATAGCTTATACATCAGAATAACATATAGGCTATAAATTTAATGCGAGTGAAACCGCGGGAACTTCTAGTATTACATAAATAGTAGAGCTCTATCAATTAATTTCGCCAAAGATTTATAGATTAGAGATGTCCAAATGAAAATATAATAAAACTCTGAAGCAATAACCATTTTCTCCTTCATTAGGCGCTTGCGGTATGTCCAAGCTTCATAATTTGGAATTTTATATTATGCAAATTAACTCGATAATAATTTAACCTAATATGTTTAACATCTTAATTTTGTTATATTTCTATCACATTTATAAAACGTTTGTTACAAAATATTTTAAAGATTTTTTACTGCATTTCTCGTTCTGCATTCGACATTTTTAAATACGAAAGTATTGGTGTACCTAATTATCTGCTTTATAAAATTTCCTCGTTTATAATATATTCCCCCAATTGCTCGCTCGCTTTCATTCACCGCTGATGTACCATACTCCATTTTATTCTTACATATTATTCAATTTTTAATGGTGTCAATAACAATTGCATTTAAATTTTATCGATTAGGTACAAGACTGTTTTCGCTTTCGTTTTGTAAATAAAATATGACTGTTGTACTTATTGAAGATAATAGGTATTTAAAAAATAAGCGTGTTGATAATGAAGATAGTTGTTTGTTGTGTATGCAGTCAGGTAGAGCGCGCAAATATCGCGACCTACTTAGTTGGCAGCTCCATCGCCTCCGCGCGTCGCATGGCATCACGATTGCTAAAAATAGCACCAATGTTGAGAAAGCACCACTCTGTGACAGTCTGCTTGTCTTAACCGAGAAATTGAATATTGGGCATGTATTATCTCATGACTGAATCAGTGGTTCAAAAAACTGATATGAAAAGCATCTAAAACCAATGGATAGTTTTAAGCATTGCCAAGTTTACAAACCGACATGTTACGAAACAAACTATTATTTTAGGTTCTCTAGAGATCGCCTTTCTATTTTTTAAACTGGTACTGTATGTTCAATTCTTAGGCCATATCATATTTTTACTCATCTATATATACCTACATAAAACTGAATTGCTGTTCTGAAATAGTTGAATTGTGTAAGTCTCGCTAAAACTCTAGAACGGCTGAACCGATTTGGCTAATTTTAGTCTTAAAATTTCCGCGAAGCCCAGGGAAGGTTTAAATGGTGATAAAATATGAATTTTTTTTTATGTAAAATAGTAAAAACAACAATTTTATTTGCATACAAACTGTTCGTACCTGTCATACAGAGTTCATTCAGAAATTTATTGCTGATGATTACGCTATACCTTAAGTTTTCGATCATATTAGAATTCTCTCGTCTTTACATTGTATAAATAGTAAAAACAACTGCATAAAATCGTGAGATCTGCCGGCTGCCGGTGACCCAACGCTCGTCTACAGATGTCGAAATTTTTCAAGTGGCCACATTCATTAAAAACCAGTCCTCGTAGGCCTTGAAGCACTTGGCTACTTGCCACGCCCATGTAGACTTGCTGGAGCGCATTATATCACTATCACAGTCCATAAACACTTCCTAAGTAAAAAATAATTACTTAACAAAGTCGTAACATGCAGAATATACAAATTACAGATTGCCCTAGACAGACCGAGAGACTACAGCATCGTAGGTTTAAATATTTTCATATATAATAATAAACAAAGGCCAGATGTTCAACATTTGATGACTGAGGTGTAATAAAGTTGCGTATCGGTGCTTCCGCGTACGTAGCCGCTTTTATCAAGATCGTGTGACATTGAAATACGTTAACCGCTAAGATTTCCTTAGTTTTGAACAATTGTCAATAGGCGCAGTATTCTAAGGTTTGGACACCGCTATTTCGGCTTAAATCGCATTAAAATAAATTAAACTAAGTCTGTGAACAAGCGGCGAGCGCGACGTCAGCTAACGGTATCGAGGTAGATATGATTCTTTCGGGCACCGTTTGGTTTACTGGCACTTGAGTCGATTAAACCTCATGAATTATAATAATGGCACTTATATACGAGAAAATGGTTTCATCATAATCACAACACCGCAATCCGGTTTTTGTCCACGTATGCGATCGCTCTCATTGTAGGAGTCTCGACATTTACCTCACGAGAATCGGAGGGACGACGCCAACTCAGGCACGACGTAGCGCGACCAGCCACACTACACTATTAAGATACAGCACTACACCATTTGTGGCCACGCATGTGACTCCGGATTAAAGCGTTTTAGCAGTTTATAAAAATATTTTCTACAGTTGATAAGTTTATTCTAGAGAACACACGAATTAAGAGACGGATAAAACCACGATAACATTGAAAAAACAAGCACTCACGACGACAGCTCGAGGTGAACTGACTAAGTACGTACACGTACGTACTGGCCCCGGGCGGGTTGAGGGGGAGTGAGGTTCTGTTCTCTCTCGCATGCCTCTCGCAATTGCTATCGAGTAGGGGACGCGAAGATGGCCGATGAACTCCGAAATCGACCGAGGAAGATCCGCTAATCCCGCTACGGTATCATGGGATATAGGAGGGGGTACACCGTGGCGCACGTGGTCGTGCACTGCACTTGCCACCCATCCTCAGAGTATTTAGTTGTAACAGATTGTAAAGAAACAATATGTGCAGTGTCCATCAAGTAATGTGCATTAGATTTTCAACACTGAGGACATCGTATAGAATTGTTAACTTAAATTGCTTTAAATCACATAATTATGTAATAGCCATAGTAACTACTTTTGTTACCATTTTGATTGTCGTAAAAAATCGAATGTAAACTAAATCCTCTTAAACAATAGAGTGTTTAAGAGGATTTAGTTTACATTATTATAAGTACTTATTTAATATTCTAAATAAGTACTTATTTACTATTGTAAACCAAATAAAGTTTAGGTATATAGGTTTCATAATAATAATTCATTATTCGCCTAAAACAATTAGTATTCACATTATAAATTCCACCGTTATGATGAGAATCGCATGCAACAAAAAATAGCAAAGTTTCTCTACGTCCACTTTTTGCGTGGTTCACGCTTGATTCGCGTTCCGCATAGGGATATTAACCTTACTTGCTTACCATAATTTTCCCTTAGTGAGATAGAGTCCGTTGTATATTGTTGCCTCATTCTTTGTTAAGCAACTAAATCGCTGCAGTTCAAAGATTCTTTCGACTTTCTTCGCTGTCTCACCGGGTTCGCACAACTTTCCGAGGCTTATTGTTCCTCACTCACCTGAGAACAGGTTGTTTTTGTTTCCGGATTTTCTTTACACAGTTTAGTAAATACTTATGAATCTGGCTGATTAATGTAATAATAACTCGTGTAATATGTATGCAGATTATTGCAGTGGTTATTATCGAATGATATCAATGTCATTAAAATTGCGAGGAATGCTGACATTTGTATTTGTATTAAGTAACCTTGTGTAGACATTATTATACACACATATTTAATGTAAAGACTTTTTTTTAAATAAAAGTGATAATAAATATTTTTACACAAAATTGAACACTTAACGACATACCGAACTTATTATATAGTACTTTCTTTATTATTTTGAGACCATTTAAATAGTTTTACTAGAATAACCTAAATTCAAATATGCATAGTACGCAGAACTATTTTTTTTAATTTACTAACAAAGTATGATATATTTTTATTATCTAATTACTACGGAATCCTTAAAAGCAAACATAATGAAAATTGTCAAACAGTCTCTATTAATTTTAATAATCAAATTCATATACGTATAGGTTTACCTAATATGATATAACATTATGTTTAGTTTCGATGTCAAGGTGAAATATTTAAACGTATAATAACTTAATTATTATGGTTTTATCTATAGTGTGGTTTTATTTTTAACCGATTTAAAAGAAAGGCATGTTCTTAATTTCATTTTTTTTTTTAGGAAAGACGATGATTCCTTGTCCCATGTAATGTAATGTCCCTTATAAATCAATATCTGGCCTGTTCTTAAGTTATCCTTAATAATACGATTATAGTGTTTTTAGTGGATGATAATGGAATGGTTCACCCGCCTGTACTTACGGTTTACGCTAGCGGGGCACCAGTGGAGCATCCAGCAGTCCATTGTGACAAATTCACCGGAAATATTATCACGATGGTTTTCAGTCCACATTATAAGAAATGCGCTTCCTTCTGATAATTATGTTGGCCCTGTGTATCACCACAAGGAGACACGAAGAATATTAAACGGGATGTGTTATGAATTTATCTACCGTTTCTTTAGTAAATCGAGTATCAAACTTAGACATCGGTGTTATTGTTATTCAAGTCGTTACGTGGGAATCTGTTTTTATTACTACCATGTCAATGTTGCACGTAGGTATACATAATAGAAAGTAGACCTCTTTATATTTTATTTTTTTCTGGAAAGGTGTCTACACTTCTTAAAAGCCTATACCTAGTAATATAATAATAGAAATATCGTCATAATACAAGTATGGAGTGGAAACAAATAATAAATCTTGGAGTACTAAAATTCTAATATTATTCTTAGGTTTGCATATTACTCTCTGCACAGTCAGTAACAAAACACCTGCAGCACTATTAATGTATATTATTATTCCTTTCTATTAAGACTTACAGAAGTATTTAAACATTAAACATCTAGTAAGTATAGTAATATAAGAGAACGGAGCGGAACATGTACTACGAAAACCTGTGTTACAGTTTTACGCCCTCGACTCGGCTCGTCGGAAATCAGATAGTTCATGGAAGAAATTTATTATTATACATATAGTAATATGCATAATAATAAATTTTATTAAATATATGCCACATATATTATTATATACATACATATAATCTGAAATATCTGGCAGAGACACTACTGTCTCCTATCACATCTTTTGTTCAGTGATACCTAAATGTTTTTTTTGGTTGATTATTGAATGATGATCATATGAGCATAAGGTCAGGTCAGTTGGCCCATCGTGACAAATTCACTAGGAATTTATCACGATAGTTTCCAGGTTGTATCGCGTGGAGGTCAACCTGACATCTAAATGTATAGATCCCAGAACGTTGCGACTTTAGCGCATTCGGTCGTATTTTTTAGGTTCTACTTTGTGCAGGATGATGAGCACAAAGGACAAGAGAGTGGACTGCAATGGGGAATGGATTAAATATTACCACCGCTGTACCGAGTATCGGCAATGATTGAAGAACGAGCGGCGGCTGCGTGCGTTGCTGTGTTGCAATGCGTTGTGAAAGCTGATACTGCTGGAATTGGGTTAGCATAGCATTGCGCGGCCACTCTCGAGAGATAAGTCCATGAGATGACACTTTTTATTATTGGTAACATATTAGAATGGAAGGCATCTATAGCTCAATTCATTCATAGACATGACGGCATGTTTTAATTTTTTATGTAGTAAAATAATTAAACTATTTACTATAGGGTTATACGGATGTAATTCGATGTAAGATGTAAATCGAAAACCATGTGAAATACTCGTGAAACTTAAGCTTTCACTAAACAAAGTATAGATATATGTAAATAAAGAACTTTTTACCTTAAATAGATCACATGTCCCGCATCCGATTTGATTATTTGATTATTTTAAAAATTACTTTTTAAAGAAATTTGTTCAGTTTCATGAATACCTGTTATCATCGTCTATCGGCTTGATATTATAACGTACTATTAACCCAGTGTAATTATCTATAAATTGAATATATTCAATTAGGTATTAAATACATTCCTTATTGCTATTGTAATAATTTTCTAATTTATTTACGGTTTCTGTTTACCATATTTACAAAACACTAAGTAATTGACTGTGTTCAGAAACTCGAAACGTGGTTAGAATACATTGGAGAATACTCGAATGTGTCAACAATGGTTACATAAACCACGTATTGGAAAAACAGCTATCTGGAGATCGAAATTGTTATTCTAGCCCGCTAGGCGCGACACGGCTTTGACCTGTTCGAAATTGGGTCAAGAGGAATCGATCTATCTTCGCCTTAAATCAGTATACCTTCTGAATTATATAACCGGGCAGACGGACAGCAGACTAACATAATATATATACAAATAACAGATTGCGATAATTGTATAATATCTTTTGCTTTCACTACATAGACTTGGTTGCTTATGATATTGTAACAATATTTATAAGTGTTATAAAAACAAGTATTCTACTAAGTGAGTCTGCGAATATTTTTAGAGAGCTTAATTATGAATATGAAAACCTCTTGTTAGAAGTGGGTAAAAAAGATCCCATCTGATAGAAAATTTCAATTGTTGTTATTAGACATAAACGTACTTTTACTACTAATGAAAATTATATGGAGGGGGGGGAGGCCCCTCCATATTATTTTAAGCAGTCAGGTCAGTCAGAAGCATGAGGTCAGGTCACTTAATCCATAGTGACAAAATCACTAGGAATCTATCATGATGGTTTCCAAGTGGAAACGCTTGAAGGTCGACCTAACTTGGTACATAACTAGTTATGGAGTCAGCAATCAACATTATTAACCACCCCCTTCCCCTCGTACCAGGGTATTACACTACTACATCATACAGCTTATAAACCAAGCTGCTTGGCAACTGATATAAGTGAGACAGACGTGTCTACGGAAACGACTTTATACAAAGTATATCTCGGTAAAGATAACGGATACATGAGAAATAGCGCGTCGTTGCCACCTAGTGAAAGTTGGTCAGAGAAACTGTTACTGTACCTGACCGGCTCTATCTCAGATTAATTACGAAAAATGTTACGAAACGTTAACTCAATTAAGATGGAATGCGAAAAATTTGAGATGACTGGATTATACACATAATCGTATAGCAACAAATTATTTATCTGACTGTACAATAAAGGATGATACGTATTACTGATGAGACTGTAAGAGTATGTACTAAAATAAACTCTTTTCGGGTGCTTGTTATGATTTTTTGTATTGATTTGGGGTTGTGTACTATATATGAGTGGGATTATCGGGAAAATCTTATCTACTCCTTAATTAAAGACTAGATAAGCTAAGTTTACGAGTCAATTTAAGATCTCAGGGCCTAATTTTATGCTTCAGAGAAATATGCTTTGTGTACCTTTAGATTCGATATGATTTCGTACTATGTATCAATGAAATAAGCTGTTGTATCTCGTAATTAGTTTGATCGTTTCTAATAAAAAAAACGGTTTAGGTTCACCAAATACCCAAAATATAGATAAAATTACTCGATTCGGTTGTTTTTTGTGTTCCCAGCTATTCATGGTAGATGGATGATAATGATCTAATGGATTTTGATTGATGGAAAAAGTAGCTACAGACTGTCCTACCCTTATGACTTGACCTATACGTAC